TTAAACTCTGAGCACTCAAGGTCTGCTCGAGAGAAGCTAGAGTTGTCTGAACTTCTTTTAGAACAGAAACCACTGACTGCTGCAGTTCAATCATGCTCTCTTCGACTGTTTTCTCTCTTCTTCCCGTCAAAAGGGGTCCAAGGTATTTCTAAAGAATAAGGAATTATTCTGTAAGGTATTCTGGTAGATAAAGAATTATATCAGTTTTAAAAATTACAGACAATGGGAGTCCCCAATGCCAGCCATCCCCAACACGTATCAGGAAGCATGCGGAGTCAGCTGCTAGAGGGAAAAATCAGAAGCTGTAGCTTAAACATGTTTTTAGGTAATGATGCTAAAAAGTGGCTGTAAGGCTACTTTTGCAAGGTTGTTCCTCCATAACAAACAACAAATGCAGCCGAGGCCAACTAAGCACTCAACCATTTATTGTCCACAACTTAGAGAAGGCTGAACCACGCATGATGAAACGCTGTCATCCCAGCATGAGAGCTGGTCTACCATGATGTCATAGGATAGGATATCAGAGACCATCATTCTAGCATGAGTAGGTTAATGTCCACAACATTTTGGTTAAACAGGACACCAAGCAATTCTGCTCTCAGATATTTTACTATATATCTTCACAGTATACTGTGGTATACCTGCTCAACTAAATTACACTGGTATTGCTGCATTTGGGAGTTATGATGCTCTTCACTTAAACATTTTTGAAAGGAAATAAAAAATGTTCTCTCAAATATATACACACATACATACATACATACATACATGCATACACACAAAACGATGGCAGCACTAGTTGGAACAGCTATGCACGTGGATTTTGTGTGAATTAACATTAAACAGAAGATGATTATACTTGAAAGTACAATAAAATAAATGGCTTTCAGCTTACATTGGAAGACTATATCTCTGTATGAGGATGTACAGAGACTGACTTTTATGTAAGGCTTAATGAGCCTTTAAGAAAATAATCAGTCACACAGAGTCACGACAACCTTGATGCTTGGGCTCTAGCCAAAAACTTTACCATCATCTACATGTTGGTACCTAAATGCAATGAGTTCATATCTTCCTTCATATCATCAATATCATTGCTATTATTACTACTTCTATCATCATCATCATCAACTTCATTATCACACATCATCTTGGATATTTACCTTATATAAATAGAAGACTCCATATGACGCCCCAGTCAAGATGAACACAAAGTTGCAAATGTCACGTATTTTCACCCAAAGTGCCGGGGGCTGCTGCACTGCATATGCAGGAACAGGTAAGTGAGAGATTTGTGCCGGCACCACAGCTCCTATCGGGCTGACCTGTGCAATAAATAAAGCACTTTATAAATGCATATTGTGCCCTGCTCTTTGTTCTGTCAAAAAATTGTGGAACAAGCATACTGGCCATGAATTCTACATAGAGATTTCTTTATTGATAATGTTTGCTATCTACTATATTCTACATTGCAATCCATTAAAGTCAATGCTTCGAGCAATAGCCTAGTATGGTTCAAGAACACAATAAATATACAAAATAACTTAAAAAATAGCAGAAATTATAATGCCATCAGGTACAGGCTCCATAGTGATGCTGCTTGATCAAGGCTCCTCATACTCACACCAGGAACTTCAACTTTCCCAAAAGCTGCATCAATCTCTGCTTCACTCAAGCCCTTCTTCCTCAAGAAAGCTTTCTTTTTATCAGCACTGTGGCCAATCACACTGGGATTTATCAGGAATTTGGCAGCTTCATCCACCTGAAATTATAACAAGATGGCATATACAGTAATACTGCTATTACTAATGAATATCATTTGCATTTTGACTTGTCTTAAATAACATGGGTACTGGTTCTGTGCTTAGAAGGCCTGAGCATGAAATCTGACAATCTGAAGGAGAAATTAATGAAAAAAAAATATATATATATCTTCTTGTGCATGTAAAACAAGATGCATTTGTCAGGTAAATAACAATAAAACATTCTGTAGGAACACAATATACGAATGTAATATAAACATGATTTTTTCAGAACTCTCAGCATATCTAAAATTCGACCCAAAGTAGAATGAAGCAAATCTTACCAAATTCTGACGAACTACTGTTGGCCCTTCTTCCGTACTCATTGTTCTCCTAAGGCCTGAAAAAAAGGACAATTACCAAATAATGCTAACTGAATACAGTCCTTTGAATATAACTACATTACACTCACAATACAGCTTATCAAACCTTCATAGCCTTTGGGTAGGTCTATCAAAAGAAGAAAAAAAAAATCCTTTTGAAAACATGCAAGCCTATATCTATATAACAGCTTGTAAAGGTTACCACAGAATTTGCCCCTTCAGTGGTAAATATTCAAAATGCATCAACACTTACATTATATTTACATTTTAGAATAAGACGAAAATATAAGCTGATTATACAAACACATAACATATATCAAATATAATAATCTTCATCTGTCTGTAAACAAATGAATAAACCTTGCAAATGTGATG